TTTCAGTATCTCTCACCATACTGACAAGACGATTAATGAATTTATTTGTAAAAAGCTCTAATCGCCCAATCACCTCCACATTCTCGTACAAAGGCAACAATGTATTAAGACAGCATAATCGCACTTCTGAAACCTTTAAAACAAAAAATAAATAGCGAAAATTTTTTTTAGATTTACCTTGTCAGACATACACCATCCGTAATATTTAAGGTAGCTATCATTCAAAAATAAAGCAGGATGGGCCTGCATCCAATTACCAAGCTCGATAAGACAAATAATACGAATATCTGGAACGATATCCCTACAATAAATGAATATGTAGTTTTAAAAATTAAAAAGAAAACCTATATCGCAGTGCAAAAACTGAACGAAACAAGTACTGTGTCATTGCAGATAATTCTTCAATTTTTGAATCAAACTGAAAAAGAATAAAATGTTAATATAAGTATTAGCCAAAAACTTTATAAGTCAAAAGATCTTACTTTTATTGAATTAAGGAAAAATAATTTAAAAAACAAACATCTGCTCGAGCCTGTAACAATAACTCCATGCGCTCATTTGCTCCAGTCTGTGATAATTTTGATTTTTCCGTTTCCACCTGCATAGAGTTCTTTTCGCGGAGACTTTCCAGATCAACAACAACATCTACAATGGCGCTAGAAAGCTTCATTGCTGAAATTTTTTTTAAATATAAAAATAAATCTATTCAACTATACTAACCAACAAAGGTAGCAGTGTGTCTGAAGGCACGAATAGCATTCGAAGAAAGACTAGCGAGTAATTGAATAAGACTATCCATAAGAGTAACATCAAAGAGAATATTATTTTTACAACGACAAACAAATAACTAAAATGTGTATAATCAATTAAAAAATCTAGCGAAAATAAAAATATTTTAGAAACTCACTGTAACAAAGTCTCCAAGATTACTTCGGAAGCGCTTCCACTGCGGAGAGGTCATCATTAATGGATAGTCACAGGACTCCTCGTCAAAATATTCACTAATTCGAGTAACAATGAGACTGAAAACAAAATATGAAGAATTAGATCTATTTCAGAGTTTGTAAATAGTTATTAGAACTATCGCCACTCGTCACAAAAATTTTATATTTTAAAGGGAAAATAAACTAACTTCATATCCATGTTATGCACCATGTTTACATCTAATTTAGCAGAACAGCCACATGATGCGACAATAGTCTGCAAAAACTGAGCGATTGCTTGGTCAGGAGAATTCTCATATTCACGCATCCATTTCTCGACAAGTGACTAAAAGAAAAAGTTTAGTAGAAAAAATCGCCTCAAAGCAGAAATTATTGGAAAAGAGCTTAAAGACCTTAAGGAAATAACACATTACCCTTTCCCCCTACTATTAGAAAAATTATTTAAAAAATAAATTACATTAGCAGATTTTCCTGATTTCAAAGCAATAAAGTAAGCGTCTTCAAATGCCGGAGTCGCAAATTTTGCAACATTTGATACTGGAACTCTCTTTGTTACTGCTACTTTCTTTGGTGTTGTTTGAACCTTAGGACGTTTTTTTGGAGGTTGTTCAGGTGGAGAATAATCTCGATCAAATGATATTTGTTTACGCGCTCTAAGTGAATAAGTATTTGTACGTATAGCCAATTCAGCAGATTGCATTTTTAATTAACAATGTTAAGATTGTAAGTCAGAAATAATATCAATTTTAATTAAGTATAGATCAAGCTGGAAATGAAAAAAATTTATTTACAGATCTATATATCCAAAGGCAAAAGTTTCAAAGGTACGGCAAGTTAAAAGTGGACGACCGCGAAAACAACAAGTTTGCACTTAAGTGTGATATATCGATTATCGATTTTAACTTTAGGAAGTTCGCACTCAACAATTAACACTGAACCGACCTAAATTGCCTTTCTCTAACTTCACTATTTCTTTTTTATAATTTCTCTAACTTCGGAGATTAAACGTCATTTATTTTCAAAGTTGCATAATGACAATTTTGATAGATTTCAAATTCCTATTATTCTCCGACTACATGTGAGACCCGGTTTGGGTCCGTTCGAGCCGGACGTTAATTTAGAGATAGAGAAATCAACAATCACTCGCTTTAGACTAAACCCAGTTCGCTGATAGCATGACTAAGAATCATTTTAATTTTAAAATTTTATAGCAATTTATTTACAATCTATTAGTATTTCCTTTTTACATGTAAATTAATTTCATGATTCCTCTCCTATAACGTCTTGTATTTCCACTTCTTCCTCCATTATCAATTCTACAACAAAACCCTTCTATACATTCATAGCCTGCAGGGCATTCATTGTTTGGACCGCAAGGTCCAAGTTGTTCTTCTGGAGCACACGTACCAGTATCTAAATTTTAATTAAAATGATCTTGAGTGATGACATCAATCACATATTCCAAAATTTCTTCTATGTATATAAAATTTACTCACCTAATCTTCTACACTCGCCTTCTCCATCTCCAACACATGCATAGCCTAAATTTATGAAAAAAAATATTTTAAAATATTAGAACATTTAACCTTCAGGGCAAAGACGTGTGCCACCTTCACCTTCTATACACGGACCGATTGGGTCCTCATTTTCAAATACCTTTTTGAAATTAAAGAATTTCAATTAAAAATTTCAAAAAAACCTGTGGACAACACCAATTATTTGATATATCACATGCATAGCCTGGTTCTGAACATTGTTGATTTCGGTCACAAGGACCACTCGAATCAATTTGCGGACACGAAATTTGTGCTTGACTGCTTTGTGTACCACAGCATTGTCCATTAACTAGTGTGTAACCAGTCGGACATCTTCCTAAAATAATAAATATTTTAAAAATTTTTATTTAATTTGTTTTACCATTTACTGCTAGTCCTATAGAAACTTGACCAGGTGGACATGCTTTAAATAAATTTTTGAAAAAAATTAAATACTAAAAAAACTGAACGATTTAATTGAGAGGGGCAACAAATATTTCCTGTTGTGCATGTATATCCTGTTCCACATCTTCCTTGAATACAAGCACCGATTGATTGACTTCTTTAAAATTAAAAAAAATTTATTCTTAAATTAAAAGAATTATACCCGTCTAAACATCTAGGTGTTTGTGAAGAATTTGAACAACAAAGTCCTTGATTACATGTAAACCCTTTAAAAATAAAAAAAATTTTTTTTGTAAAATACTAGTTAATATTTTTATCTTTAAATTTTATACCTGCACCGCATTGTCCATTAACGCATGCGCCTGCTGAAGATAAAAAATTAAACTTTTCGGAATTAATATTTGTAATTTATAAACTAGCCTGCTTGAGTTCCATCAGGACAAACTTTTTAAAATTTTATTTTAATATTTTTAAAATAAAAAACCTGTAGCAGGAATCGCTGTTGCCTGCGCACAACAAACATTTGCTGGTGTTGAACAAACTTTTAAAGAAAATATTAAATTTCCAGTAATATTTTTAATTTACCAGCCGGGGACATACAACGCCCAGCAATACATTGTCCAAGAACTGGTAAACCTCCAGGGCATGCATCTTAAAAATAAAATTTTTTAATATTTATAATTAAAAAATATTTAAATAAATTTTTGTAAAATTAAACTAAAATATTAAATAAACACAAAGAAACAAAAAATAAACATAAAAAACTAAAAAAATTTCAAACAATTTTGTTGTAGAGGAGAAGGGGGTGACAACACTTGCGGCATTACACAGCATATTCCTGGTTGTAAACATTGCATAGGTGGAGCACAGAAACCTGTGGTTGAACATGAAGCAATTGGTGGACCTCCGCCTGGACAAACTTTAAAAAAAACAAAGGAAAATATTAAAATTAAAACAAAAATATGAAAAACATAGGAAAGCTTAACGAAAAATTTTTTAGAAAAAAAATTTTTTAATTTAATTTGTGCAATCTAATAAAAAATATTTTTTTAAATTAGTGCACTCACAATTATTATTAATATTATTAGTTAATAAATTCATTGGTAACATGTCAGAATCAGCAGCTAAAAAGCTAAAAGGCATACACGGCAAACAATCATTACAGAAACAACCTAGACATTTAATTTTGTTATTTCAGAAGGAATTGTGTTAAAAAGTTAGTTTTTTAAAGGATTTAAATGATTTAAATAAACTATTAATTTCTAACTCCGTCCAATGCGTTTCCGTAGTCTAATTTTCTGTTGATTATTATTTTCATTTGAAATTTGCAACCATTTTGGTACACGTCTATGTTCAAGTTCTAAAAAGAAACTTTTATGTATATTTAAGATTTGGTAATCTTCAGCTTCATTGGATTAGAAAAATGGTACTCTTGTGTTATATGCCCACAGTTTTATAGCTCCATTTTTCCTATTTTACAAATTGTAAATACTTTTCCGGAATTTATTAATAATATTTTACAAATTGTAAAACTTTTCCTGAATTTAATAAAATATTTTACAAATTGTAAAAACCTTTCCGGAATTTAATAATAATATTTTACAAATTATAAAACTTTTCCTGAATTTAATAAAATATTTTACAAATTGTAAAAACCTTTCCGGAATTTAATAATAATATTTTACAAATTGTAAAACTTTTCCGGAATTTAATAAAATATTTTACAAATTGTAAAAACCTTTCCGGAATTTAATAATAATATTTTACAAATTGTAAAACTTTTCCGGAATTTAATAAAATATTTTACAAATTGTAAAACTTTTCTTGAATTTAATAAAATATTTTACAAATTGTAAAAACCTTTCCGGAATTTAATAATAATATTTTACAAATTGTAAAACTTTTCCGGAATTTAATAAAATATTTTACAAATTGTAAAAACTTTTCCGGAATACAATAAAATATTTTACAAATTGTAAAAACCTTTCCGGAATTTAATAATATATTTTACAAATTGTAAAAACCTTTCCGGAATTTAATATTTCTTACTAATTGCTAATCTTGCTAATTTTTTCTAGGGACCAATGAAGTAGAAGATTCCCAAAAATTCTATATTTTAACCTTTATTAAAATCATTTAATAAATTTGTTGTTGGTTCTGGTTCTGTTGGATTTTTCAAAATATTATTTTGAGGAATATTTTTAATCTCATAAAATAAAATAAGTGAAGGTTTTTGATTTGTTGATAATAATTGTTGTTGTTTTTCTTTAAACTTATTTTGATAGTTTTGAATGGTCTCTCTAGCCCCCAAAAAATGAAAAACATTAAAGGTTGTATGATTTGTTGTTAAATTGTCTTGATTTGCTTTTAAGAAATGAAAAAATATTTTTACAATATAAATTACCCTCAGGCACATTTTCATTTTTAAAAAAGCAACAATAACCTAAAAAATTAAAAAATAATACTTAAAATAAAATTAAAAGAAACTTAACATTGTTGCAAATTCCAACATTACACGGATCATTTTTGGAGCACAAAGTATTAAGACAGATAATGTCGATATATTTTGAATCATTTATTGAATTGAAGTTTTGTATAGCTTTTTATTTTGTTAAATTATAAGAAAAATTTTTATGGAATTTTTAATAAGGTAAAAAGTGTTAGTCGGGGAAAGCGACAGTTGTGAAACGTTAGTAGGTAAATTAGGGATGCCACAGGTTGAGAAAAAAGTCGGGTCGGGTTTTCAAGGTTCGAAAAAAGCCAGTTTCACAAACCCGTGACAAACCTTATGTAAATAGGTAAATATTGTAATTTAAATATTAAAAATATTATTTTTAAAAGTTTTGTTAAATATAAGTTAGTGCTTTAGGTATCTTTAATATCACTTATTTAGCTTATAAAGCTTCACTTTATGAAAGCTATAATATTTAAAAGCTTGTTAATTCCCTCACTAACAAAAGAAAGTAAACTAACCCGGGAATTGCCTAAAATGATGATGTCCCTGTTTGACAACAGTATGTGCTATACATGCCTGACGTTCAAAATCAAAATTGAATGAAGGTTGACAATGTTTTTTATGCCAACGACGAGTCCTTTTTAAATTAAAAAGAAAATTTTTTCATCAAATTTATTTTTATTTACGTTGAATCACATTGTAGAAAAGCATTCCGATCTGTATAAACAGGCTGAAGACAGTTCTCACTAACAGAGCAAAAGCCATGCTCGTGTGCATCAGAAACGAGATCTTGAGAAAAAATTTTTATTCAAATAATTTTTTCAAATTTTACCACAAATATAGCTACTCATTTTGGGTGAAGTTTTTCTAATTTGTTGTTGTTGTTCTGATTTTATTAGTGCTGCGGCAGAAATTCGAGGAGCAGATGATCCAACATTCTTACTTTTAACAACCCAAACACCTTCTCCTGGTAAAGATTCAGAAATTGGCTCACAACGAAGAAAAAATTGTGTTTGTTTTCCTCCAATATGAACATCTTGCGAATCAAGGTGGCAAAGACCTCCAATAACTGGCATTGAAGAAGAAAATTTTGATAATTTCTCAAGGTTATGGGTTTGCTGTATTTGACAATAAATATTTACAGATAAAAAAATATTATTTATTAGAAAAATAATAAATAAAAAATTTAAAATTGTTGTAGAAAATATTGATGATGTTGTTCTCCTTCTTTGATTATTATTAGCTAAAACAAATAAAATAATTTAAATATTAAAAAACAGGTCCCAGAAGGTAAACTCCCCATAGGTCAATTGACCCTAGGGGCCAACACCAAATATTAGGTCTGCGGGTTCCTTTTGCGTTATTTTGCACCAAGAATTTCCGTTTTCTGTCCCTTAATCCCAACAAATCCATCTTAAAAAATTAAACCTACTTGCTGTTAAATAACAGAATTTAGAATTAAATACAGAATGCCACATTCTTTTTAAAAATTTTAAATAATTATAATTTTTCCGTAATTTCATTTTTTGAATTTCCTCTATTAATTAGGTAGATAGATAAACTATATTATTTTAAACAATTTATCGGGTAGCTGAAAGGAATAATTAAAAATAAATACAAATTAATGTCAAGGGTCACTAAATTTAACCAAAAGTACTTAAACAAACAGAAAATTCTGTCCATAGTAAATACAATTTATTTTTGAAAAAGAAGCAATTATTTGTGCGCGAAGAAGTAAATGAAGAATTTTATTTATTCAACAATGAGAAGTAAAATGTGGACATTTAACTACCCATATATTCCCTTTAAGTGAACGGTTATCCCCTTAATATAAATGAACAATGTAAATCTGTGGACTTTGTTCACGTTAATATAAAAAACAACGTGGATGGATATTTAAAACTGATATTTAGAACTGTTTTAGGAAAAGTAAAAAAGTTTGAATAAAAAATTAAAAAATTATTTTACATCTATTTTTATTTGCTTGAAAAATTAAAGACGAATTTATAATAAAAATTGAAATTAAGTATATTTATAAAAAATTCATGTCCCAGAATAAGCGATAATCCATTCTTAAAAACAGTTGAGTAAATAAATATTAATTTCTATCTTTCTACCTCGATTTAACTTTTTTTGACCAACATCTCAGCTACTGCAAAATAACTTTATATTCTTTTTTTTTCCTAAATATTTTCGTCTTAAATAATTGTATTTTTTAAAAAACTTTCAACATTCGATCTGTCCATCATTTTCGATCCTTTACATTAGTCCATTTTCTATTCACTAACTATGATCTTCTCCGCAGGTCCATCATCTTTTGCATTATTTTACTAAATCTATTTCGGGAATTAAAAATAGTTGATGAAGAAGCAAGAAGAAGAAAAAATTAAATTGAGTAAATAAATATTAATTTCTAGGGAATTAATTTTAAAATTTTATTTTTTTAAAATTAAATAATTAATAATTAAATTTTAAAAAATTAAAAAATAAATTATCGGAAATGGCGGAAAAAATTTACAAATTAGCTATGGTTTATCTGCTGATTAAAGTAAATAGTAGTATAATAAAACAGGCTATAGCTATTTCTACTTAAGATAAGGCAAAGGTATTCGGTGGCTGGCATCGAACATGGATCTATAACTGACAGGACTGATGTGTTATCCATTAAAATTCAAATCTTTTAACTATAAGAAAAACAGCAAATTTCGTAGTTAAATTAGAAAATTGAACTTTTTTAAAGATTTTGAAATTAAAAAAAATTAATAGTAAGTTATCAACATTTGCAGTTAAAATATTTTTTGTTTAATAATTTAAATAACGTCAAATTATACTCCCTTTTAATTTTTATCATTTTTTATGGATTTAATTTAAAAAATAATTTGGGTGTGGTTCCTCTTGTTGCAACCAAAAAGGCAATATAATTTCTAAAATGTTTAAAAAATCATGCTATCTTTTATCAATTAAATAATCTTCTCAAATTATCAAATAGAATTCCTTAACCTTTAAATTTATAAAAAATATTTTTTAAAAAGGCACACCCAAATCCGCATTCTTAATATTTTATGTAGTTAATTATCAGTAAATAAAAAATTAAAAAAACATCAGAATATATATAAAGGAGTTATTATTAGTATACATTTGCTTCAGTTTTAGACATTAATAACAAGCACTATTAGGATTGATCCCGTTAGCTAGTTCCAGAGCCAGAAATCAATTTTGAAAAATGGTCAGAAGCAGGCAATGTATCTTCCCAATCTAGCAGTAGATAGTTTAAATAAAAGCCAACACCCCAGTCGGCGGCCTAGGATCAAGTCTGACATTATTTAATACTCCAGCATGTCTAAGCTCTCCTAATTATTCTTTTAAAAATGTTTAACTATATCAATTTAAGTTTTTTTAGAATGGGTTCAATTCGTCCAATTATTTTTGTCTGTTTAATATCAATTTGTTTTACAATTATTCTTGCCTCGGATTTAAATGAGAAGAAAGATGTCTTGCCGAAAAAAATTAGTTTGGAAAATATTAATGAGAAAAAACAACAAATTGGTGAAAATCCAAAAAATAATGAAGAGCTGCCTGGAAGTAAGAAATTTTTAAGAAGTAAATTAAAAATGGTTACGGCTGCTCAAGTTGAAGAAATTAATAAAAGTAACAAAAAATGGAAGGTTAGTAGAATATTAAGATATTAGAGGCCAAGTTTTTATATTTAAGGCTAAAGTGCATTCAAAATTCGCAGACAAAACCCCAGCAGAATTAAACAAATTTCTCGGTGTCAAACCAACTATTGACGAAGAACAAAAACTAAAAAGAAATGAACAGCTTAAATTATTGAAAAGAAATAAAAGAAGTACTGAAAATAACAAATTATTAGAAGAATATAAGGAATTTGACGCTAGAACCGAATGGCCCGAATGTAAAGATGTTATAGATACTATACAAGTAAATGAATATTTTTAAAATTTAAAAAAATTTAAAAAGGATCAATCTGCTTGTGGAAGCTGTTGGGCAGTCTCCTCTGCCTCTGTGATGCAAGACAGAATTTGTATATCTACTGGTGGTGAACTTAAAGTAAATATATCTTCTGAAGATATTTTATCTTGTGAAAAAACAAGTTCTGGGTAATATCATTTTTTAAATAACGGAAGTTTAAATAATTTATATTGAAGTTGTTATGGTGGTTATCCCGAAGAAGCTTTCAAGTTTTGGCAAGAAAAAGGTGTTTGCACAGGATCTGGTTATTCAGATCATGAAGGATGCAAACCATATCCATTTCCTCCCAATCCTGATGAGTATATGTATTCTACACCAAGGTTATATTTAAAAATAAATTTGATGTATAATTTATTTTATTTATTAGATGTAAACGCCGCTGTGAAAACCGTAAATATAAAACAAAATATAACAAAGACAAACATTACGGTAAATTTAAAAATAAAAATATTTTTAAATAAAAAAATTTTTTAGGACAAGAACCTGTGAATCTACAAGATTCTGACGAGACTGATATAATGAAAGCAATTATTGAAGGAGGACCTGTCGAGGCTAATTTTGTAAATATTTTTAAAATAAATATTTAAAACATGCTAATTATAAATAGATTGTTTATTATGATTTCTTCTCCTACAGCGAAGGTGTTTATGAAGCTGGTGAAGGTGAAGATATGGCTGGAGGACATGCAAGTATTGAAAAGATTAAATATATTTTGATATAATTTTTTATTCAGTACGTATTCTTGGCTGGGGCCACCATAATAAAACCGATACACCTTACTGGCTGGTAATGTTCAAAAATTTATTTATAAAATTTTAATATTAAAAAAGATTGCAAACTCTTGGGGAGATCAATGGGGAGAGAATGGCTACTTTAAAATTGCTCGTGGACAGGATGAGTGTTTAATTGAAAGTTGGGGGACAAATTATGGAGATCCAGCACTCGATAACAACACACTTGCAAGTGAAGGTGCTATGCGTGCTTCTAAACGACGTGAAGAGAAGCGTCAAAAACTAGCAAATATTGAGTCAATGAGGCAAAATTAAGAAAAATTAGATATTAATTTAAAAAATAAAATTTATTGAGAGAATTGAACTTGAATAAAAATTAATATATTTTTCTAATTTTTGTAAATCCAAAATGGTTTAAATTGGATCTATGGGGTTTTAAGAAGTGTAAAAAAAGCGTATTCTATCTTAAAAACATAAAAAAAGACTAGCCAACCCAGAAAAATATATAGATTTATATAAAAGTATATATCACGACAACTGACTTTAATAAAAATATCTAAAAAGCCAAGAAGAATTTGAAAGAATTAAAAATTTATTTTTAATGTTAGAAGATAATATATTTAGTTTATTTATTATTAGCAATATTTATGCATCGAAATAATTCAAAAAACAAGAATGAAATTCCTTCGACCTCCTCAAACTCTTCTACTCTCAATTCAAAATTAGAAAATAATAATTCACAAATATTACAAAAATATAAATTATTAAATGCTGAACAATGGTTAGAATTGAACGAGCAAATTAAAAGGATAAATCTACAAAATAATGATAATAAAAAATATTTTGAAGAAGTAAAATCACGAGAAAAATGTCCAGAAACAATAAAAGTACTGCCAATATTGCACAAAACTAACCAACTTCCACCGACTTGTAATAAAGTTAAACAAATATTTTTTTGTCCAAAACAAACCAAACAAAATTGTTGTCCACCTTCTCCAATATCAACAAGTGCATATGGAACGGGTGGAGGTACAACAACAGAAGATACAGGTCAAGAATCACCATCAGCTGAAATACAACATCAAGGCAGAGAGAAACCAAAGCAAGTAAAGAGTGTAAGGTAAAAATAAAAGGAAAAAATGTTTAATTAAAAATTATTTTTTCTAAAGATATGCTTCAGATAAACCACCAATAAATTCGTCACAATCCACTTTAATAAATGCTGCTAAACCTCACTTCTACACATCGGTTTTTGATTTTTTAAATAATTTTAGCAGTTTAGTGTTAACATTAATTTTTTAAGGCTGACCGATTAGCTGAAACATTGGCTACTCAACAAAGAATTTTGCGACAAG